AAAAAAAAAAAAAAAAAAAAAAAAAAAAAAAAAAAAAAAAAAAAAAACTTCTATTTTATAATATATGAAGCTTTTCCATTTCAAAGGTATCTGAGTGAGGCAATGCCTAAATTCAAACCTTCATATTACGTTTTCCACACTTCGTTACCTGCCTTTGACCTTTTCACCTCACCATCATCAAATCATTTCTATATATTAATTCTCAAACAAATAAAATAAATATTAAATATTTTTCAAAAAAATATAATTGTGATATTCCACGTTAGTTGGTTGGAGACGAGAACTAAACACCTTTTAACCGTATGAAAACCTTTCCCTAACCGATGCATTTTAAAATTTTAAGGAGAAGTCCGAGAGGGAAGAAGGATAATATCTGCTAGCGGAAGACTAGAACTGTTACACTAATTTATGCCGTTCATATCAAAATAATATATAGAATAAATTTAATTCTAGAATCACCCGCTCATTATCTTAATAAATAATTATTAATTTATGGATTATCTATAAGGCTTTCTTAAGCCTAAAGGGGAGAATAAAAGACTTCTTGGAAACACTAGTCAACAAAAATGTAAACTTGGTTTATATTTATTTGTTAAATTACACTTTTAAGCAAATAAAATGTACCACTTTTTCCAAATGAAAACATGTTTTTGAGAACAATTTGGTGATCGGGTTGGATTAGATGTATTTTAGTGAGTGGTTATATAGCTTTATGGAGAGTCCGTCGAGTATTCGATTGACACCAAATTTGACAAACTCTCATCTTTCATATAGATGAGCTTAACTCTAGAGTTTTATAGGCTGAAACTCATCGAATTTTCGACTTTTGAGGTTATGGTTTGAGACCCTACTTGACCTTGAATTATGATTCATAAACATAAGAGAAGTCGGTCGCATAGTAGTTGACAACGGTGATGAAAACTTGGTAGATTGGAACAAAAGGATAAGTTAGGGATTTTGTTGGAGAAAAGGGTAATATTGAAACTTTTCCAAAGACAAGAATAATAATGTTAAAGGACTTGTGTTAAGAATAATGTGATGGATGGGATGGTATGAATGAGAATATCATAATGAGTTCATGTGATTCAAAAATAATAATAATAATAATAATAACATTTGTCTAAGAGAATGAACAAGATGGGGTAGTTCCAAGAGATCACATCAAATTCACATAAGTTGATGTGTTGATTTATTAGTGAATAGAAAAAATGTTGTTCATTTCTTCATATTTTTATAATTTTGTAAAAAAAAAAAACGTGGAAATTCTTAATTCTCCAACCATGACCTCGAGTTAGGTTATGAAGAAATCATGTAATGAAAAAGGGGTCGAGACTATGCTACTAGAGGTTTTCAGGACCTAACTTTACCGTTAATGTTTTAAAGTTTCCTTTTATACCGCTCCTACCCTAATTTTCTTGTTCTAAATTAGCGACATTACTACAAACATGTTTGAAATAATATAAGCGAAAATTCATAATTTAACACTTATAAAGCAAGATACTTACCCATTTAATTTAAAAAAAATGAAATAACATAGTCTTTTTTAACATGAAATATAAAAAACTACCTATTAACTACTAAATGAAAAATAATGTATACTACTCCCTATCTTGACCTATATGGATTTCCAGTCTTTTCAGCATTCATCGTCATTTGTGTATGAGAGTTTTACTTTTACCTGAAAAATTATTCTTAAGTTAACTAATCAAAGTGGCGTAGCGGAAGCGTGGTGGGCCCATAACCCACAGGTCCGAAGATTGAAACTTGGCTCTAATATAGTAGTAACCTTTTGAGATGGTTCCTTTTCTTGGTATGCATGTGGTGACATCACTAATTTAGGCAAGAAAATAAAGGACGTAGCTTTTTGAAATGGTTGCTTTAGAGATTCTTCTTCCCGTAACTATTTCACTAATCTCATATTCTTGTAATGATATATGATAACAAGCTAGATCTCGTTGTCCTTGACGAGATGGAGTATCAAACCTAGTTATGTCCATGGAATCTTCTGAATTCAAGTTGAATGAAACCTTATTTGGATTAATCCGAGTATCACAAACTGTTGAGGATGAATGGATTGATGGGAAAAGACAAGTAAGTTGAGGATGTAGCCATACATTATTTGTGGTATCATCTTTGATCCGTTGAAGGTTAGATGAGAGTTAGATGAGTGAGAGAGAAGTAAACATTGTACTCTGAGAAAGGACTTCAAAACAAAGGTATTTATGGGCACTCAGTTTGTACCAAAATCTCTCTTCTTCTTCTTACTTTCTTTGGCCCTTTAATCATTTGATGATTCAAAAAACAAATGATTTTAAAAAACATAAATATATGGAATCCAATGCTTTTAATTAAACTCTTATTCGAGAGTTGTGAGATCCCAAATCGATTAAGAAGAAGAACGAAACATTTTTACAACGGTGTAAACATTTCTCTCTAGTAGATACGTTTTAAAAACCTTGAAGTGAACTCCAAAAGGAAAAACTCAAAGATGACAATAGCTAGGGCGGTGAAACTTGAGCTGTTACATTATTGATGTGAGATCTCACATAGGTTGGAAAGGAGAACGACGCATTCCTCACAAAGGTGTGAAAACCTTTCTCTAACCTATGCATTTTAAAACCTGATATGTAATGGACAAAACAGATAATATCTTCTAGTCACGGTTACCATTAATCTTTGAAACTATAAAAATGTCTTGGCTTACCAAATCTAAATGTGATTCCACTAACTCTGGAGCATACAAATTGTTACCAAAAGCCAGAAACCTTTCAAAGATTTGTCCTCCAAGTCCAAAGAACAAATACTCTAAGAACAACTCAAACAAAAACATGTTAATAAAATTTGTCTTGCAACACCATTCTCCAACAGGTTAATAAGAAGAAATGAAGAGAAACATGAGTAAAGTCCATTTTAAAGTGGTTGAGATAATAAGGGTAGTTGAATTCCAAAATAACTCAGAGAAGGTTCTGGTTGTTGTTTTCTTCCTTAGGGGCCCCGAAAGAATCCAGCCTTTGAAGAGTCAACTGTTCTCAGAGGAAGCAGCAAAGGTGTGTGCAGGCAGCCATGTCTGACTTTCTCAGACAAAATTCTGAGCATCTTTTTGACAGCCTACAATAATGAGACCCAAAACAATTAATTTCTTTCTCAGACAAAGCTTAGGCCATTTTTGTGCTAAGAAAGATTAAAAATCCATTGATGGCCTAAGAAACTGATGTTAAAGAAAGAGAAGTAAAAGGCAATTGCACGAGTACAAGAGGTAATAAAGATTTTGTGCAGAGAAATAATGGGAACTGCTTGGACAGTAAAAGTACAAAGTCGGAACCATGACCTGCAATGGCATAATAAAGAAGAGCTTCAATGGTTAAACATAAGGGAAGGTACAAAATTACTGCTCATAATTTAAAAGACTGTGAATGCAACTAAGATGCCAACATTCATTTATTTCGGGGCCTGGATGATTACAACATCATGAGGGCAACTCATTGCTCATTTAAGTAACTTTATGCTTTCAATTTTGACATTGTTATCAAGGGTTGTTGTCATTTGTCAGGTTGATCCAAAATGTTAGGTTTATTATATATATAGCCCAAGCCCACTTCTAGCCGATCCAAAACGTGTTTGCTCTAGGGAGAGATTTTTACACCCTTATAAAGAATGCTTCGTTCCTTTCTCCAACCGATATGGGACTCCCCCAATCCACCCCCCCCCCCCCCCCCC